TTCCTTGTTTTAAGAGATGCAAAAAATAATTTCAGTGCTATGTAATATTCCATTGTTTGGCTGTACCACACAAAATCATAAACTTTTGGTTTTTGACTGATCTATCATGGGTCCCTCATGGTGCAGGCACAAATGGACACTGAAAGGATAGGTGGCTCACAGAAGGGCAGCAGAGTATTAAAGGTATCCTGTGCTCCAGGTAGGGAATGAGACTCACTGGAAAGACAACATTCTGGTTACTGGAGAGCTGATCTGCCTGCCTGCATGCCTGGGAGTACCACCCTGATGGAATCAAATCAGGAAACATGATCTAACTGACTGCACTGCACAGACATTGATAGAACATGCTCATTTTAGGCATGTTTCTTTAGAACAGTGGGTTTAAAAATTTAAAAATTTGTAGCATATTCCTTTAGCCTTGTAACTCAGTTATCCTAAAATGAAGGTTTGACCAAGTATAATGTTTTTGTATTAGCCAGGAGAAGCTGATTCATTGCAGTAACAACCCTCAAATCTTAGTGGTGTAAGAGCTTTCCTTTTCTGTCATGCTGCACATCTGTCATATAGCAGGAGAGCCCTGGCACTTAGTTTACGGGAGTCTTCTTCATACAGATTGTTGCTGGTTTCAGTGGCAGAGGAAGGAGGATGGGATAGTAGAAGAATAGCTCTCTAAAGATGTCTATGTACTAATGCTTGGAACCTTTGAGCATGTTATACTAATGGCAAAGGGGAATTGCAGTTGCAGATGAAATTAAGGTTGCTAATCAGTTGACTTTAAATTAGGGGGCCGAATGTATTTTTTGAGATCTATAAAAATAGAAGAGGGGGGCAGGAGAGGTCTGAATGATGCAATGTAATAAGAACTCAACCTGCTGTTGTTGGCCTTGGAGATGGAGGAAGAGGCCATGAGACAAATATGGGTGGCTTCTAGAAGCAGGGAAGGGTGAGGAAACAGATTCATCCTGGAGCCTCCAGAAAAGAATGTAGCCCACAGCCAACATCTTGATTTTAACTCGATGGAGTACCTTTTGAACTTCTGACCTACAAAACTGTAAGATAAGTTTGTGTTGTTTAAGGCCACTAAGTTTGTTGTCATTTGTTACAGGCTCCTTAGGAAACTAAAACATGTGCTAGCCCTTAAATGCTTCTTCCCGGAAGTGAAATGTGACACTTCCATCTCATTGGCCAGAGCAAGCCACACAGGCATGCCTAACTTAATAGGATTGGAAAAATTTGCCCAGCCTTAGAGGGAAATGGAATATTGATGAATATAATGATATCTGCTATACCTTTGCTGTCATATGTCACGCTTAGATCTTCTATTCCCTTAAAACCAAACAGAACAACGAAGCACTGGCGGCAACTCTTGAAGTTGGTTTCATTACCGACTAATGGGTTATGTCCCCCACCCCATTAGTACAGTGCTGCTGTGTAGACCCTCCTCTGCCCAAGCCTCGGGGGACACATGACACACCCTCCACATAGCTGATTGGGCCAGGCATGGGGCACCTGAGAGGAGCTGATCAATCACATTCCTCTCCTGGGAATTTGGAATTGGGCCATTCAGCCAGTTAACACTGAGAAGTGGAGTGAGAGGCAGAGTAGAAACAGGGTCAGAGTGAGAGAGCCACTTGCAAGCCAAAACGATGGAGGAGCAGAAAAGCCCTGAGTAAGCAGAGACAGTTGGTCTCTGGGGACGATGGAGCTGCGGCCCGGAGAGCAGTACAGGCCCGAGAACATGCAGCCCCAGGGGGACAGGTGGAGAGACAGCAACCGCCCAAGAGGCTGATGGCTTCCCCGCCCTGGGCTCCAGCACTCCTGCCTACTGCCTGCGCATCCTTCCCGTGAGATTTTTGTCTCCTTATTCTCCTTTTCCCAGGCCACGCTTGTTGGGTTTCTGTTGCTTGTGTCCAGTGAGCTTTGATCCACTAGAACACCACCGCTGTTTCTCTCGGGGACTCAGCTTTGACTCTGGGCATCAGGCTGGTGGGCCCCGGGGGGGTCTCGGGGGAGGCAGGGCGAACCAAACCCAGCCATCCCACAGTCTGGAAGTCTGGCTTCGACCACAGTCTTGCATGTTTGTGCTTGCTCTTCACGGCAGACAGGCAGAGGCCTTCTGGGGGGTGCTGCACAAGTGCAGGCCCAGGTGACTGGAAGCACCTGCCACCGCCGCCCCAGGGGGCTGTTTTCCTGACAGTGTTGGTGTCCGGAAGCCAGTGGGGTCACTTCAGGGAGGGCTTGGCTTGTGCAGCAGAGTGGAAAGGACATGGGCTCTGGAGACAGACAGCCAGAGTTCACCTCCCAGAGCCTCAGTTTCCTCGTCTCTGAAATGGGACTATTGAAGGCTTGGCAGCGTTCTGGGGCAAATAGTGAGAGGCACAACTAGAGCAGAACATGCGCCCAGAGCATGGAAGAAGCCGCTGTTGTTGTTTGAGGAAGCCATCAGAGTCCCGGCTTCCTGAGGAGGTGGCCCCAGGGGCTGATGGAGTTAGCACAGGACATTCTCCGCCACTCTGGCCTTGCTTCCTGCCCTTGTGTTGCCCTGTTCTCCTTCTCGCCCTACTCGCCCTTTCATCTCTTTGCTCTCCCCTCCCCTCTCCAGACTCATTTCCCCTCTTTTCTGCTCCCTACTCCTCGGCCCCAAAGCTGAAACAAAAACAAAAACAAAAATGAAAACAAAAAACACCTGCTTTAGGAAAGCAGCAGGGGTGGATTTAAAGTACTCAGCCTCTGGAGGCAGACAGAATTGGGTCTGAGTCCTGGCTTAGCCTCAGGCTTGCTGTGTGTTCCTGGACAAATTACTACATCTCTCTGTAAGATCATCATCTGTAAAATGGGAGTTATGCCCATTTCACAGTGTGTTACGAGAAAGAATTAGGCACTCGACAAACACTGTTGCAGCCCTCTTACTCCCCATCCTCCTTCCCCCCTCCCTCTGGACTCTCGCCCCTCCCAGCCTGGCCCCCAGCCCCCTCCTGTGGTGACAGTGCCCCTGTTCCTCTCCAGGATCGCTAGAGCAGCTCTCCCTGACTCAATTATAACTCAGGTATTTGTGATCTCTCCTTTCTCTCAGGCCCTGGGCTCCTGAGAGGTGAGCCGAGCTTTCTGGAAGGAACTGGGGGGTCCCTTTGGCCCATGGCACTTCTCTGGTCTCCTATGCAAGTCCAGCTCTAGCTTGGGAACTGCTGGTTCAAACTGTGTGATCTGTATTTTTTCTCACTTTAGTGATCATTACACCTCAGCTGACTGTGGCATTTTCACACTCCAAACACTGATAAATATTTATGAGGAGAAGAAAAGCCCAGAACTAGGGGAGATGGGAGAGACATGTCCCGGGTCCTTCTTGGCAAGCCAAGCTCAAACTTCTCAGTGGTCCCTGTGGGCCCCAGAAGTTAGGGGAGAGGGCTGAGGAGGCCAAGGAGGCCACCCCCCCACACCCCTTCTGGGAGGAGCGACTATCACTGTGGTGCTGCAGGCCTCACCCTGCCTTGCCCACTGCACCTCCTGCCCCTGGGTAAGCATTTGGGTTGCCTGGAATCCTCTGGGCCTGGCTTGGCCTGCTCCATCTCTCCTGTTTTTTTTTTTTTAAGATTTTATTAATTTATTCATGAGAGACAGAGAGAGAGAGAGAGAGGCAGAGACACAGGCAGAGGGAGAAGCAGGCTCTGTGCAGGGAACCTGACGTGGGACTTGATCCCGGGTTTCCAGGATCATGCCCCGGGCTGAAGGCAGCACTAAATCGCTGAGCCGCCCCCCCCCCCCCCCCCCCCCCCCCGGCTGCCCATCTCCTGTGTTTTTTTTGTTTGTTTTATCTCTCATCCCACACCTACATGGCAGCAGCCCTCTCTCCTCCTCTGCCTCTTCCCCTTCCTCCTCCAGTACCTTCTCTAGTCTCTGCCTCTTTTCTTATTCTTCTCTCCCAACATTACTCTGAGCAATTCTGGGGCTAGATGATGGGGGTCTCAGGCTCCCAGACCCTGCTGGGGGAAAGGGATGGGGGTGCTGGTGGAGGCTGCAGGGTGCTCTAGAAGCACTTGGCAGGAGTTGGGGGCCACATGTCTGCCTGACTCGGCATCCAGTGCTCTGTTGTGTGGCCATGGGCACATCCCCTGTCTATCCTGGGCCTCAGTTTCTCAGTTGATTCATTCACTGATTCATTCATGCACCCACTCAACTAATATTTGTTGAGTGCTTGCTACCTGGCACACATTAACACAGATTTATTAAATACCTACTAGGGATGCCATCCTAGGTACTCAGGATACATCAAGAAGAAGAAAGACAAAGCTCTCTGCCTTGCGGAGCTGGCATGTTAGCAGAGCAGACAGGCATAAATTAGCAAGTTGCTTGTATAGTAGGTTAGCAAGTGGTGAGTACTGTGGGAAAGAAAATAGAGCCAGAGGAGGAGAGGAGGTGCAGGGTGAAGCCACAGTGAAACCCCATCACAGAAGGCTTGGGGCTGGGGGCAGATCTGGGGTGGGGGTGGGGGTGGAGAGCATCCCAGGGGTGGGTGCTGCTCGAGCAAAGGCCCTGAGGCAGAACCCACCCAACCTGGTGTGTTAGAGGAACAGCAAGGAGGTACTGTGACTGGAAGGGTGAGGGAGAGTGGGAGGTGATGCTCAGGGGTAAAGGAGGCAGGACAGACCACACACACAGGGCTTTTCTTCTACATGAGCTGGGAGGACTTTGAGCAAATGAGCAGCATGGCTTGACCTATCTTTAGAGCCTCCCTTGGCCTCCTGTGTGAAGAGGAGGCTGAGGGGGCCATGGCCAGATCCCACAAGAGCTATAATGGCAATAATGGAGGCTTGGGTGGAGGGTGGGGGGTAGCGCTGGAGATGGTGAGATCCAGTTATACCAGACACTGTTGTGGCTCTCAAGTCTTGGATGGTGCCTGGAAATCACTCGAGGTGTTTGTCCTCTGTCCTGCCAAGGGACGGCCTGCAGGAGCCTTCCCCTGGCGGGATGCGTTAATCCTGGCTTTCTCTTTCTATCTGCAGGGTGTTCAAGAAGGCAAGCCCGAATGGAAAGGTGAGTCTGTAGCAATCACACCCCAGCTCCTCCTTGGCCCTAGATGCTTGTCCTCTCTTGGACATTTCTACTGCCCACGCAGGACCCTCTGCCTACCCCCCATCTATCCTTAGGAGCTGTCCAAGGAGCTGACAGGGTAGGGGGCCTCTCAGGAGACTCTGTCCCAGAGGGAGGTATAACTCCCTGGACTTTAGGGAGCCACTGCTCTGGTTTGAGACACAGCCTGTCCTAGAGAGACTTCAGCGTGAGTGTGATAATTAGACTAAGTGCTAAGGGCCTCTGGGGCACTGATTCCCCTGGTGTGAGAGGCCCCTAGAGCCTCTCTGCTGAACCTTGGCATCACCTACTTATCCAGGGCAGTTCCCAGGGCCTGTCCTGCTTTCTTTCTTTCCACAGGCCCCAGGCTCCATCCTGCTTTCTTTTCGGTTCAGTAAATAGATATTACTGACATCATTCCTTGTCGGGTACAGGCCCAGCCGGCGGGGACTGGGACAGGGAATACCAAGACAAATAAAGCACAGCCCATGCCACTCACAGCCAGATGGGGGAGGCAGACACAGAAACGGATCATTTCCACCTAAAGTGGCAGGGGTGAGATAAAGGGATGCCCAGGGGCTGCCTGCATCCCTGGATGCCCAGCCTGGATAGTCAGGACGGCTTCTCTGAAAGGGATGCATATCCAAGCAAGGCAGGGTGAAAGGGGCATTCTAGGCATGATCATAACCCACAGGGAGTGTAGGGGCATCAACAGCAGTTGAATCTGAGAGCTTGGATTTCTGGCCTGAGCTAGCCAATACACCACAGTGGTCCCACGTCTGCCTTCTGTGCCCATAGCAGACATCAGCAATCACTGTTCACCCTGTCCTGCTGAGCCAGGATTCCATCTTAGATTCTTTCTCAACCCAGAGCCTCAGGCAGCCCCCAATCTATCAGAGTTGGCATTTGGAATGAAACCCATTTGTCATCTTACCTCTGGCCATAAGAACCATTAGAGGGTTTTCAGATGGGGGTTGCATCATTAGATTTGCGTTTTAGTATAACCAGTCTGGCTAAGGAGGGGAGAAAGGCCGAGAGCATGTGAGGCTGCGGGCAGCAGGCCACAGAGGGGGCTGTGAGTCTGGTGTGTCGTCCAGGCAACAGTGGCTGTGGGGAGGAGGAGGGGTGGACTGAGAGCAAGGATGGAGGGGGTGCTCGGCAGGATGCAGGAAGTGTCTTGGATGACATTCTGGATTCTAGCTCAGGAGGTTCTTCCCTGCAGGCTGGCTACCCAGCAGGACACTGGCTCCCAGTTCCTCATTGCCTTGAAAAGCAGAGCTGGTATGAGTGGACCCTCGCAGACTGCACAGGGGTGAGGGGCAGTGAGAAGCACAGAGCTCGGGGTTTAGAGCACTGGCAACCCTTAGCGCCCCTGGCCCTGCCCTGGGTTGCCCTTGCTGTCTCAGAGATGTGCCCAGCGCTCCCGGGCAGCTGACTTCTTTGCTGCTGCTGCTCTGCTGTCAGCAGTGCTCGGCGTGAAGATCTCAGGCCTCAGTATCCTCATCTGTAAAATGGGAACAAGGACAACTGCTTCACAGGGGTTTAGAATAAATAGGTGCTTTCAGAATTGTACAAGAGTTTATTAGTATTGGGGCTGGAGCTCAGGTCCAAGTCCAGCTAGGACTCTGATGTGGGTTCGAGTTGGGTTTAGCCATTTCAGAGGCAGCTCCCAGGGTTTCCTCCAGAGTGAGGGCCAGTGGCTTTTCTGGGACATGCCCTCCAGGCCCACAGCTGCTAACACCCCCTGTGCCTCTCTTCCCAGCTCACTGTCTATCTGGGAAAGCGGGACTTTGTGGATCACATCGACCTCGTGGATCCTGTGGGTGAGTCCCAGGAGGCCGAGGAGGAAGGTGGGGAAAGGTGGGGCTGACCCAGCCCCTTCTAGAGAAGGATGTGTTAAAGCCACCCACAGCTGAGGGCTCTCCTCGGGGCCTGGTCCCCAGAACAGGGTGTGAGTGGCTTCCCATGGCAGTCAGCAAACATTTACCACTTTTACCAAGCAGCTCCTTTTCCCTCAGCAAGGACCACGTGAGGGGAAAGGGCAGGTGGATGGAGGGAAGAAACAGGGAGGGTGGCCTGACAATAGTAAGGAGGGTGTAGCCAGGTGTAAGGCTTAGTACATACCAGACACCAAGGGTAGCTCCATTATTATCTCTGCTTTGCAGCTGAGGAGAATGAGGCACAGAGAGGTTAAGTGACTTGCTCCAGGTCACAGAACTAGTAGGTTGAGGAGCCTGGATCCAAACCGGGGCAGCCTAGCTCCACAGAACCTTTGTTCTGCTTCATCCTGATGGCAAAGATGGGACATGGGAAGAAAACCTTGGGGCTTATGAGATGGGGGCTGTACTCACCCACATGGGGGTCTCGTCAGAGGCTGGGCTATGACTAAAGGCACCTTTCAAAGCCTTACTCTTGTTGAAGATTTCTCAGCCTCAGCACTCTTGACATTTTGGACTGGATAATTCTTTGTTGGTGGGACCATCCTGTGTGTTGTAGGATGGTGACCAGTATCCCTGGGCTCTATCTGTTAGACACCAGGACTATCGCCGCCCGGTAGGACAATCACAAATGTTTTTGGACATTGCCAGATATCCCTCTGATTGGCATAGTCACCCATGGTTAGGATGCTAAGAACCATAGCTCTCGTTAGAAGAGCCTGACCTCACTGTCTCTTCCCACAGCTCTTGGAGGGAGGGAGGGAGGCCCAGAATCATCCCTATTTCACATATGGGGAAAGTGAGGCCCAGAGAAGTTAAATGATCCCAAAGGGACAAGAACAAACCAAAGTGAGGCCAAAGGAGGTGGCAGGTTGGGAGGATGGACACTGGAAACTGCCTGAGGCCAAGTCCAGGTGAAGAAACTAGATGTGTTGCATGGGGAACATTCACAGAGAATGTGGCCTCTGTCATGTATCCCCGGGAGCTGTCCTAGGGCCAGAAGGCAGAAGTGAATGTGTGGTTCCGGAGCCGAGGTGGGAGCAGAGAGCACAGCTGGCAGGTTTGGGGTCACTGGGAGGGGGAGACCTTTGTGACAGTGGGAACAGGAGAACTGGGGAGTCCCGGGGGTCCTTCTGCTGAAGGGGTATGTGTAGAGCTGCGGGCTGCAGAGCATCAGCTGCCCATTAGGCCCTCCCTTCCTGGCCTGGAGTAGGACAACCCCACCTTTCCTCCCCTGTGCTGTCTGGGAGGAACACCAGTTTGCCTGGTTTGCCTACAACCTGCTACAAGGCACAGTTTCCTGCAGACTCTCTGGGGTCAGGCTCTGTCTCTATCCATTGGCCTATCAAGGACAGCAGTGGGGGTGACACAGAGGCTGGGGGCGGGAGCAGGAGGAAATCAGCTCCTCCACCACACACCAGCACCCTGAGAGCTGTTTAGTCAGTGTTCCCAGAGCACCTACTTTGAGCCAGGCCCTGGGGATCCCAGGGAGCTCTGAGGTCACTGTTGAGAGTTGATCAAATGACACACAGAGAGAAACACCTTGCCCATCACAACAGTGAGCTGATTGTGAATTCCCAATGCTTAACTATCTGCCATGGTTCCCTTTTGGGCTCCGGGGCAAGCGCATGCCCCCAGTCTTGCAGACAGGACACTGTGAGTCAGGCCTGGCCCTGCTTCCTTTACCACCCCCAGGATCTACATGCTTCCCCCTGTCCGCTTGCGCTGTCCCTTGGTCATCTAACCGGTGACCCTTACTTCTCCTTTAAGACCTGCCCACTGCTTCTGTCCCCCAGGAAGCCTTCCCTGACATCCCTGGTTGGGGAATTGCCCTTTCCCCCCTACTTTGTACAGAGACCTTGGGTGCTCAGGCACAGAGGAAACACCCACAGAAAAAAGAGGGAAGATGGGCACGTTCTGCGGTGGGGCGGACACCCCTGGCCGAGTATCTCTTGGGCCTGCCCAGGACTAGATGGGACCAGGAGCCCTCTAACACTCCCTTCCAGGGACAGCCTCTGAGATTCCCTGAGAGATTGCTATGGGGGCAGCATGGATGTAGGGGGAGGGTGGCAGTGGGTGAGAGTTGAGAGAATTTTGCTTGTTCTGTGGGTATGGCTGGGTGAAGTATGGCCAGAGGTGACAGGGATGTCAAGGCAAGGAGCCTGTGTTTCCAGCTTCCTGGGATCCCACAGGGAGAAAATGTCCTTTGTGTCTAGCTGGACTCCGCACTGCCACGGCCAGGCCCGGGGACATTCTCTGTAGAGTCCCACGAACCAGGCACCATCTTAGCTTTAAACATATTAACTCAGTTGGTCTTCATGGGAGGCCTGGGAGGTCGGTTCTGTAGGATCACAACTCCTGATGGCAAATCCCAAATCCAAGAAACTCTAGAAGTCTAAACTTACTGGTAAGTTTGATGTAGCATTCATTTAGTGACAAAACCTGACCTGAACTATAGGAAGCTCTTTATACTTTAGCCTCTTGGTGAAAAGATTCATGTTTCCTTGCTGAGGTGTTAATGGGTTTGATCATGGGGCACTGCCCCAGATCCTTCAGAGGGTGTTACAGAATATATGGAAGATGTACCACATGGCCTTTCAGAATCTCGAAATTCTAAAGTACACCTGCTCGTAGGGGTTTGGGACCCATATTGGTGTTTTTATTAACAGGGAAGAAACAGACCAGTTGCCAGCTGGGTCTGTAGGGCCAGCCTGAGGGTAGGGGCTGGGGCATGGCAGTGCCTTCCTGTGGGTGCTGGCCTCCCCTATTTCTCTCATGAGGCTTGTCCACAGACAGATGGTGAAGTCAGGCCTGGTTTGGTGTTTGGGGCTCAAGAATTTGAGAGGTCAAGTTGGGAGGGTCTGCTTACTCTCTTGTCCTTCTTCCAGATGGTGTGGTCCTGGTGGATCCTGAGTATCTCAAGGAGAGGAGAGGTGAGGAGGTGGTCCCCACCTCTGGGCTGTGAGGGGGCCTCCTATTCCCTACTGACCTCTAGCCCAGGGCCTCCATGAGTCCCAGACATGACACAAACTAATTTTAAGGCCTTTCCCTGCCCAGCCCCGCTGGCTCTTCCCTTTGCAGCTCCAAGCCTCCTCCGGCCTGGGCAGCCCACCTATGCCCATTATAGGAGAACCTTTTCAATTCCCTGAGCACTCACATCAATATATCATGACTTTCGCAAGGCCGGGGATGCCCATTAGGGCAGGAATTAGAGTCTCATTATAGGAGAGAAAATTGAATCCCAGGGAGGTGAAGGGCTTGTCCAAGGTCAGCAGGAAGATGTGGAGTGGGGGTTGGGCTAGGAGAGGACCCCACACCTTCTAGACACCACCCAGCACTTGTTTCCCTCTCCCTCTGCTCTCTCCAGCCACATCACTTCCCCAGCCCCACCTTCCCTCCACCCCGGTCCTACCAGCCTTCTCCAGCCCTCACCAACCCTGTCAGATCATCTCCTGTGCTCCCCACACTGGCCAGAGTGGGGCATGGGAAAGGACAGAACTGATCCAGCAGTCAGCCCTCACCTCACCCTAGGGGCCAGGTCTGAGTGGTTCTCCTGGGTACCCAGTACCCCCATCCCGAGGGCTGCACAGCCTTCCCACACAGGAGCTTTGGGACAGACCTGTGAGCTCCAGTTGGGCCAATCCCAGGGCTCAGCTGGTGCTCTAGGGGGCTTGTTTGCTGCCCTCTTGGGCTCATCCTCCATGCCCTCTGCTCCCACAGTCTACGTGACACTGACCTGCGCCTTCCGCTATGGCCGGGAGGACCTGGATGTCCTGGGCCTGACGTTTCGCAAGGATCTCTTTGTGGCCAACGTGCAGTCCTTCCCGCCAGCCCCTGAGGACAAGAAGCCCCTGACACGGCTGCAGGAGCGCCTCATCAAGAAGCTGGGCGAGCATGCCTATCCTTTCACCTTTGAGGTTAGGGACTGCCAGCTGCATCACCAGTAGGAAGCCCTGTGGGCAGGCACATGGGGGCAGCTGGGGCAGCAGCTCCATGTCACTCAATTTCTCAGTGTACATTGGGACCTGGGGCACTGTCACTTACACTGCCTGGTAAGTGTCTCTTCTCTGGCCACTGCCAGGGGTGTCACCTTACCTCTGAGCTACTCCTTGGACCCTCCTGAGTCCAGCTCGTGGCGGGAGAGAACCGGGTGGGCAGAGGCTGCAGAGAAAGAAGGAGCCCTTTCTCACCTCCGAATTACTACAGGACTGTCTCCTCCCTCAGACCAGCTGCCTGCATGCCCGGCTTCGGCCCAGCTCCAGCCCAGCTCCAGCTCAGCTCATTAATGAGGGATGGCATGTAGTGATTTCCCTGCTCTGCCACTTTTCCAAATGGAAAGACTCCCAGATTCTGGATTTTAAAATTTCCTGTTTCTCAGACTCTGATTCTGTGATTCAGTGAAATCCCCTGGCTTTCTGGGAAACCAGAGGAGAGACATTATAGTCATCCTGTCCATGCAGATGTATTGGTTTCCTGTGGCTGCTGTAACAAACAAGCTGCCGCCAACCTGGTGGGAATTAAATGTGACCATTAAAACACAAGTTTCTGACCTTATAGTTTTGGAGGTTACAAGTCAAAACAACAACAACAGCAACAACAAAAAACAGGTTGCACTGGGCTAAAATCAAAGTGTCAGCAGGGCTGTATTCTTTCTGGAGGCTCTAGGCCTTGCCTTTTCCAGCTTCTAGAAACTGCTCGTGTTCCCTGGCTCGAAGCCTACCCCTCTGTCTTCAAAGCCAGCAATGGCTGGTCAGTCTTTCTTGCAGCCCACCACTTTGACACCGACTCTTTTGTTTCCTGCTTTCCCTGCTAAAGGTCCATTGTGATTACATCGGGCACACCTGGATAACTCGGGCTACTCTCCCCATCTCAAGAGTTTTAACTTAATCACACCTGTAAAATCCCCTTTGCCAAGTAAGGTAGCAGTCGAAGGTTCTGGGGATTAGAAGGTGGGCACCTTTGGGGGGGGGCTTGTTCTGCCTACTACAATCTAGGCAGAACACTTTATTTTTATTTTTTTTTAAGATTTTATTTATTCATGACAGACACACAGAGGCAGAGACACAGCAGAGGGAGAAGCAGGCTCCATGCAGGGAGCCCGATGCGGGACTCGATCCCCAGACCCCAGAATCACAACCTGAGCCCAAGGCAGACACTCAACCACTGAGCCACCCAGGTGCCCCTAGGCAAAATCCTTTAGATAAAGAAAAGCACTGAAATCCTTGGCTTTACTGGAGGGCTTCTGGCCCAGTGTGGGGCATCCTTGGCATGGTCTGATGGGGGAGACATGGCCCGTTGCTATGGCCCCCTGGTCTGATAAATGTGTGTGGGGGTAGTGGGTGGGCAACATGAGGAGCTCAATGGTCAATGTGACAGGAGACCTGTCTGTTATCTTAACAGATCCCTCCGAACCTCCCGTGCTCTGTGACATTGCAGCCAGGGCCTGAAGACACGGGGAAGGTGGGTCACATCTCTGGAAGCCTCTCTCCGGGTAAAGGACATTTGTATCCCCAGGGCCCTGGCTTTCTGAGAGGCATCGGAACTCTCTGTGTGGAAGCCTCCCTGTGTGGAAGCCACTTCAACACTGCCTCAGATAAGCCGTCTCTTTTCATACAGGGCGGCAGGCAGATAGGGTGTCATCCTCACCCCCGCATTCCATTACATGCAGTCTCTCCTGGGCTTGCTGTTGGCTGCAGCAGAACCAAAATGTTCTCTGGACTACCTCTTGGCCTCACAACCTTGCATGGGGGTCCATTCACTGTGGTCTCACAAGTGGAGAAACGGAGGCTCCAAGAGAAGTGACACTACTAGTGTCACAGGCCTCAGATCTCTGAGCCCCCTTGTCTTCACCTGCAAAATGGAGATGAGAGGCTATGCCTCCTCCTGCAGTTTAGAGGGTGGAGTGAGCCACCAGAGCACTGTTGGGTCTGCACATAGTCTGTGCTCCCCTCCTAGGACTGCTGAGCACCCCCATTGTTATTGCCGAGTGGCTGCCTTAATGAGGACAACTGCCCAGACCAGGCAGGTGTCTGCAGGGTGGAGCCCAGTTACGGCAGTTTGGGATGCCCAGTGTTGGGGGAGCTAGGGGAGCTCTGTGGGAAAGCCAGGTGGCCAGGTGGGGGGGGGGGTGCAGCACAGCACTGGGGCTGAGGACGATCACAGGGTCCTGAATCAGGCTGAGGGGCGGTTCGCCTGTGAAGTTTGCTATTCCCCTCCAGGGTCCTGGTTTGTAAAATAAGAGGGTGGGATGGCTGTGCTGTCGGGACCCTGTGGTCAGCAGCCCCCTCTCCTCAGGCCTGTGGTGTGGACTACGAGGTCAAAGCCTTCTGTGCTGAGAACCTGGAGGAAAAGATCCATAAGCGGTGAGAAGGGCACAGCTTCCGCTGGGTGTGGGCTGCCTACTGGCAGAGGGAGGGAGACAGGACCAGCAAAGTCAGAGAAGAGATAAGTAACAATACCTGAAAGTGTGTGAGGAGGGGCCGCATATTCCAGCCCCAGGAACTCCAAGAAGGGCCCTCTGGAAGGCTGGCAAGTCCTAGAGGGGTTCCTGGAGGAGGTGGCTCGACTGTCTGGGGCTTAGGGCTCAGGCCTCAGGATTTCTCCCTTTACAATGCTGAACCTGCCTCTTCCATCACCCTGCTTCAAGTCTTGCCCCATGAGACTGCATGTTTTTATTTTATTTTGGAAAGAAACACAAAATTCGGATCATTTTAAAGAGTGAGCAAGAGTTTTTTCCAGCCACCCTGGACCCCCACTTCCTACTTCTCCTGGGAAGCCATCAGCAGCAGGTGGTAGTGGGGGCGGCAGTGGGGTGTGGGATGGGTCAGCCCACGTGTCAGAAGAGGTAGTGTTCTCCTGGAGAGGCACAGCCCTGGGCAGACAGTCCAGGCTGGCAGCTGGAAACAGCTGGGCCTGACTTCTGAGATGGACTGCCCAGCCCTGCTCTCGTTCCTGTTCCTCCTCAAGGCAGGCCCTGCCCTGTCTTCAGGCGAGAAGGCGAGGCTGGCCTCAGCCCCCCACTCTGATGCACCCTGCTTCCCCAGGCAGCAGCCCGCGTTCCTACCCGAGCCTGGCTGAGGGTGGCTGAGGGAGGGCACTGCGGCTTCTTAGGGAGTGGGCTGAGTTTGCCACCTGGCGGCTGAAGAGCGTATTGAGCATCTCCGTCTCCAGCCCAGGCAACTCCACGGTGTGGGGAGATGAGACCCTTCTCCCTGGCTTCTCTGTCTTCCTTTTCTTCTTCAGACCTGAGACCAGGGGAAAGATAGGGGGTCGTGGGTTTTTGAAGGGGACCTGACCAGAGCAAGGAAGAGGAACAACACTGAGGGCCACTGCCTTCACCCTACGCCAGTGTGACATTTTAAGTCCACATCAGAGATACTACTGATAATGATATAGCAGCTATCGTTTATGAAGGGCCTATTAAGGACCAGACACTATTCAGGGTGGTGAACATGTAGGAACTAATTTAATCCTCTCAGCAACCCTGGGAGGTAGGTGTTGCTACTGTTGCTATTTTACAGATGAGGAAACTGAGACCCAGGGGTGAATTTTCTCAAGGGCATATAGTTAGTACGGGGCAAGCTCAGACCTTCAGCCTGGCTGTCCAGTTCTAGGGGATGCAGGTGAGAAATGGGGATGCTGGCACACCCAGCACACCGCAGGCACTGCCTCACCAGATCCTGTCCCCTCCCGATCCTTGTGTCCTCGTTTCTTCCCTAAGCCCCTGTCCCTTTCACTGAGTCCCATCTCATCTCTGGGCCTCCGTCTATTCACTGGGTCCCCATCCTTGTCACTGGCCTACATCCCCCTGACTGAATCCACACCCCCTCACTGAACCCCGTCACCTCTCTGAGCCCCCACCTTTTCATGGGGTCCCTCTGCAGATTTTGATTTAATAGATATTTGGAAGGCATTTGTTATATGGCAGGCACTGTCATAGATGTTGAAAACACAGCAGTGAACAATTGAGATAAAAATTTCGCTCCTTAAGGAGCTTACACTATTAAGTAACGTAAGGGATGTGGGAAGTGAAACATAGTTCCTTTCTTGCCATCCTGCTGGCTGCCATGGGGTGGTTCAGCTCCGATGGTGTGGGAGTTAAGACCGGGACAAGATCAAGTGAGCTGATCCAGGAAGGTTTCCTGGAAGAGGAGGTATTTAGCTGGGTCCTGAAGAAGGAAACAAATGAGGGTAGAAGCAGGAAGAGTATTGCAGGCGGGGGTCCGGTGCAAGCAAAGCTGCAGAGACAGGACGAGGTGAACCACTGAGGATGATAGTGAGGAAGTGGGGGTGGCTGCGTACACAATGGGGGAGGATGGAGTGGGGCCAGGTGGTGACAAGGCCTCTGTGTTCACCTCTGCAGTTTGGTCTGGATTCTAATGCGAGGGGAGCCATGGCAGTCTCCTGAGGAGGAAAGGGAGGGTTACGAGGAAGGAGGATGGAGGCAGGTGACTCTGGCTATCTTTTGCTCTGCCCATCTCCATTAGGAATTCTGTGCGCCTGGTGATCAGGAAGGTTCAGTACGCCCCGGAGAGGCCTGGGCCCCAGCCCACAGCTGAGACCACAAGGCAGTTCCTCATGTCGGACAAGCCCTTGCATCTAGAAGCTTCCCTGGATAAGGAGGTAGGAGGCTTGGACTTGGCAGGGGGTGGGGGCTATTCTCCTGGGCCTGGGACGTCCCATCCCAGTTCTCTCATGGTCACCAGGGCTCCTGGGGTAGGTAAGAGCTTCTGCCCCTAGTCCTAAGACCATAGGGTTCAGGGAATCTGAGACCTCCCTTAGGGGGCTGTGGGGAAGCCTCTGGGGGCCTAAAGGAATGGCAGAGTGGGGCATGAGCCTGAGGGATAGTCGACTTTAGAAGTCAGCGTGCCTCCTGAAGGGACCTGAGTCCCGGCCGTCTTCCTGCACCCCGTCCCCCTCTTAATGTGTGGGCACTGCCTCTCTCTCTCTCTCTGTGGATAGCTGAGGGCAAGTGTTGGCCACAGGTTTGAGTTGAGGTCCTTCAGTGAGGATTCAGAGCCGGTTCCCTTGGTGAGCAGGCCCATCTTTCCCCACCTCTCTCTCCTGCTTCTTCTAGGCCCTCCTGTGTCTAGAATTCCTGGCATCCCAAGCCAGCAGGGACTTGATACATCACCTAGTCCAAGTCCTCCAGATGGGGGGAAGCCTAGGCTTAGCCAACCTGTCCAAGGTCACACCGAGTTCATCCTCTTTATCATTATTATAATTAGTGTTCTCATTATTTCTGGTCACCAAGTCCAGACTAGAGCCCAGGAATATCACCTCCTCATTCAATTATCTTTCAAAATCCTGACAAAGAACTGGTCTAACATGCCCAGTGACTTAGCATCAGTGGGAAGTGGTTGAAGAACTTGAGGCCAACGTCAGAGTGGCCAAAGTCTGGGGAACCCTAGGATATATGATGGGGCCTCTTCTCCCTCCATCTTTCTGGAGCTTTAGTATCCTCTGGTCCAACCCTTCTCTCTTCTTCTGCCTCCCAGATCTATTACCATGGAGAACCCATCAGCGTTAATGTCCACGTCACCAACAACACCAACAAGACAGTGAAGAAGATCAAGATCTCGGGTACCCCGGGTGGAAGCCCACCCCATGGGGCCAGCAAGAGGGAACTCTCCCAAGGGTTGGGGGTGGCTGAAGGTTCTCCCCTTGTTAACAGCCTTGTAGATAACTATTGGCCCGCAGGAAAGCCCAGGGCCTACTCTAGGCCAAAGGGAAAGGCTTTTGAGGCTAGTAACACAGGCTGCTCATTGGCCAGGTAATGAGTTTACTGTTTAAGTCACCTACCCTCTAAGTTCCCTGGGTTCTGGGCAAAGCTGTCCCCGAGGGAGACGTTTGGTGATGGAAGGGAACAGGTGTGTTCGGGCTACCCTTTGTGTGGAAGATGGGGGTGGTCTCTTGAACAATCTCCCAGTGCACTCTGGCCATTCTTGGGGCTGAACATCCCCAACTCAAGGGAGCCTGGGATGCCTGGGAGCTGCAGTCCTGGCTCACACCGCCTTGTCTCCCTCTCCTTCTCAGTGCGCCAGTATGCGGACATCTGCCTTTTTAACACAGCCCAGTACAAGTGCCCTGTGGCCATGGAAGAGGCTGAGTAAGTGAGCACAAGCCCATCCTTGGATGTGTGGGTGGGGAAATGAGAAGCCCTGGCTGTAGTTACAGATGCAGATGGTTCTTTTCCACCTGACAGAGGGCTGGATCTCAGACTTCCTTGTCACTCAGAGTAGATCATCCCAAATAGCCTTTTAAGAAAACACCTGCTTGGTTTAGCTACAAGAAAATACATGCCACAGTCAAGGGACAGACCCATTAAAACTAGAATGACCAAATGAGACCTAATGAATCAAAGGGAACTGGGGTTGTAATTACACTGTACCAGAAACCTAGGTTGAAGGACATACTTTGCTCTGAGCTTCCTAGCAGCCAAGACAAAGAGGGCAAGGTACTAGGTACACAGTATTTCTTGTCTGATAAGAGAATAATCCAACTTACTGGGTAAAAGGGGTTGTATGTGGGAGGGTAGAGAATAATTATATTTTAAAAATCTAGGCTTGAGGACAGCTAATCTGGTTGAGCATGGAATTTTGTCTCAAGTTTGTTAGCGGCTAAGGCAAGAGATCTCAGATGAAACATCTTTTCTTACCTAAAGGAAGTAGTTACTCTCATTGGAAGACACATCTGTGTGTGTGTGTGTGTTTTTTTCCTGGCCCTGCCTCCTCTGGGGAGGCAAGTGCATTTCATATAATTTTTCATGTATGTGTGTGTTTCTTTACATATAATGACAATGTATTTTGGAAAGTTAAAAACGTGTTTTAAATGTTACTATATGGTTTTTGATATGTTCTGACTGGGCTGGGGGTGATGGCTGGGGGTTGGCCCTGGGGGCTGTGTCCACACCTGCCTCCCTTCTTCCCAGTGACACAGTGGCGCCCAGTTCAACATTCTGCAAGGTCTACACCCTGACCCCCTTCCTGGCCAACAACCGAGAGAAGCGGGGTCTCGCCCTGGACGGGAAGCTCAAGCATGAAGACACGAACCTGGCCTCCAGCACCTTGTGAGGACCTGCTTGCCCCACCCCTGACCCCAGGGGGCCCACACCCACCTTTCCTTTTTCCCACTAGTGCCAGTACATGGTATGGTTACCCTTTCCCCAGGCATTGTCCCTGGTCCATCTTAGGAGCTTGAATTGTCCTCTTACTCCCACCCCTATCCAGGGGTGACCCAGAGAGCAAGACGGGCCCCTAGACCCTGCTTCCTTTGTAAGTGCTGGGCTCTGCTGGCTTGCCCAGGGGAGGGCAACCTGGAGAGGCTTCTTGCAGAAGGCAGCAGCTCCTGACCTCGTGTCTTCAATCAGATGGGGTGTGTCCCTGAGACAGAGCAAGGCTGGAAGGAAAGGAGTGACTCCAGCACAAGAGGATGAATCAGGAGTGGGAGTGGGGAGTCTGGGGAGATGTGGACAGTGAGCAGGGCTAGACCAGATGTCAGTGTGCCCCTCAAAGGCAGGGATCCCTGGGCCGTATGATCACTCCTGCCTCATGGTCATCACTGACTCTGAGGCTACCCTGCTCTCGTGGAGGCCTGGCGTGTGGGGAACTTGCCTTACCCTGGCCGTTGAGGCCTGGCCCTCCAGTGGGGCTTTGGCCTGCCTCTGCAACACCCCTACCCCTGACTTCCAACATGGATCCTCTGCTCCAGACACACAGTTGTCCACATGGACATGCTGGCCACTTGCCTCCAAGCCTTTGCCCTCTTCTTCCACCCTGGCTCAAATCCTGTCTTCAAGACTTGGTAGAGGGGCCACCTCCTGCATGTCTTCCCCAATACCTCCTCCCCTGCCTTGCCAACCTCCCTCTCCCTCCCTGAACCCGCTGTCTGGCCCTTTGTGCCACACAGATTGCTGGGCAGCAAAAGAAGCAGAGTCCATCCAACCAGGGGTAGAAAGAGCCCAGCCCTCACCATGCTGGTGGGACTCAGGCCCAGGGAGGAAGGGGGCTATCAGGTGTGCACAGAGAGGGAGTTTCACAGCTGGACATGGGACCCAGGGCTCCAGTTCCCACCCACTTAGGGCAAAGCCTGCCTTTCTCATATACTGGGTTCTGTTTGCACCTGGTGGCAGAGTGGCCAAGGAGAGGGATGGTTGGCTACCACCCCCACTGCACCCAACCCCTGCCATGTCTCTTCCACCCAGCTATCGTCCATGAACCTGCTTCCCTCTGTTACCTTGCAGGTTGAGAGAAGGAGCCAACCGGGAGATCCTGGGCATCATTGTTTCCTACAAAGTGAAAGTGAAACTGGTGGTATCTCGGGGCGGGTGAGTGTTCTAGCCCAGCTCAAGACTCCTAAGTGCAGAAGGGGTGTCCCAGACCACCCGCAGCCCACTGCCCCAGTCTACCTGTTTGCCAGACCTTTTAGCTGCATCCACCAAGAGGGTAAACCAAGAAGACGACTTCCGGTTCCGTCTTCCTCCTTCATGCTCCTTTCCTCCTCCTCTGCCCTCTTTCCATGTTTCTCTTTTCCTTCTCCCCCTCCTCGTCTTTCCTATCCCTTTCTGGGCCCATGGGGTTGTTGAGGGGGTGGGGGACACTTCCTCAGAGTCTGTGCTGTGGGGTCTCCAGATGGTTCTTTCCCCTCATTGCATCTTGGGGCACAGTACCCACCCCTGCTCATGCCCATGCTGATCTGCTGAGGAAATGGCTGAAGGGACTCAGAATCCCAGAGGTGGATTGGGAGTGTTCTGACTCTCCCATTTTACAGATGGGGAAGTAGAGGCCCAAACTATTCTCCAAACATTTCCTGAAATCTCCCTTAACATCAGGTCGTAGGCTGAGTGCTGGGGTCACCGCAGTGGACCGGATGTATTCTTTGCCCTGGAGCACAATCTCTGCTCCACCCCTGAAGGTGGAGGCTCTAATAGAACAACTTTTCCCCACAGGTCAGGCCTGTATGTTCTTATAAACCTAGAATGAGGATCTTTAATTTGTCACAGGGCTTTTTGTCTGATTCATAAATTGCTATGAAAAGGTTTGCAAGCTAATAATATTAGACATTAGAATAATGCCTTGTGTAGGTGGCAGTAGCTAATACTGACCACATACTATAAGGATGTCTCAGAATTGCAAACCCCAAATCTCATGTCCTGTGAGTCTGCAGGGCCCCCAGTCTGCCTCAGGCTCTTCCTTGAGGAATCCTCGGTGAATCCCAAATTGATTTCTCGTGTCATCAGAGAGGACCCCTGCCCCCACCACCACCACCTCCACCGGGGGCAGGAAGCACAGGGGTTGGTTTTCATGTTTCCTTCGCAGAGGAGGATCCTGGGGTCTCAGCACGGCTCTAGGGGTTTTGGCTGAACAGGGCCTGGATTTCAGTCCCTCAGGCAAGACTAATGACATTTCTGTATATCTCTGAATGAGAGGTCACAGCCATGCAGTGGTGGGTGGGAGTGCGTCTCAGGGTGTCCCCTACCTGTGCAGGCAGCAAGGTGGTGAATGAACCTGCTTTCTGTTTTCTTCCTTTCTGAACTCTCTCCTGACCACCTCTCTCGCCTCCTCTGACCCACCCAGCCTGTTGGGAGACCTTGCATCCAGGTAAAGTCCCTGCCTTCAACCTGATTCATCCACCTTCCCGTAGGGTCTAGAGACCACTGGGCTCACTGACTGTCCAGAACTGTAGGGCACTGGATTGGAAAGAATCTTAGCAGTCACTTTTTTTTTTTTTAAGATTTATTTATTTATTTGTTTGTTTGTTTGTTTGTTTATTTATTTGACATACACAGAGAGAGGCAGAGACACAGGTTCCCTGCAGGGAGCACAACACAGGACTCGATCCCTGGACCCTGGGATCATGCCCTGAGCCTAAGGCAGACTCTCAACCACTGAGCCACCCAGGCGTCCCAGCAGTCACTTTTGATTGCCAGGCTCAGGCATGTGCTGGGACTAGTATCCTCTCCAAAGCATGAGGGAGATGTAGTTTCTCCTTTATTATTTTTTTTAAGATTTTACATATTTATTCATGAGAGACACAGAGAGAGGCAGAGGGAGAAGCAGGCTCCCCGCGAGGAGCCTGATGAGGGACTCCATCTCAGGACCCTGGGAGGACAACCTGACCAAAGTCAGACACTCAACCACTGAGCCACCCAGGTGTCCCCAGTGTTTCCTTTAAAAAACCTTGCTCTGTTTTTTCATCCCACCCAAGTGACAGGAACCTTTGCCAACAGCAAAGTCAGCTTCATGGTGGGGGTGGGGGTGGGGAATAGTTCCCCCCGCCAAAGTCTAATGTTTTGGAGAAATGCTGGCTTCATGGCTTCCAAACTTGTACACTAATGAAAATTAACTGCTGGCCATGTGTTGCTAAGGAGAGGTCCTGTGGAGATCTGCTCTGTGTGCCGCACATGCAGTGGTGTTTTGCCTCCTCCTGTCACAAGATGGCAGTATTGTTCATCCCAAAAAAAACCAGTCTATTTGGAGAGGTGAAATTAATTCGATTTAGTTCAGTTCAGTATAATCCAATAAAGATGTCCTGAACCCAGATTTGTGCCTAGCCTTGTGCTACATGCTGAGGTTCCAGGGAGGACTCAGGCCTACCCCCTGCCCTTGACCACTATCACTCATGGCCCGTTGGAAGGTTAATGTCCAGATCTTCCATCCATATTCTGTATGGCTTTCTTGAAGGCTGGCATGCTCACTCTTCCATTCTGTTAGCTCACCCTTCCAAGTGAACCTGGAAAAGCAATCCCCTTAGGAAGCAAAAAGAAAAAAAAATGCCAGATCATTTCAGTAGCCTATGGATCTTCCTTGTCCCGATTGAGGGGAAGTAATGATTGATTCTGGCAGGTGCAAATTTCACAGTTCAATCAAACCTTTTACCTACCTCATCTCCAAGAAGTTCTAGTGGTTCTAAGAAGGTAAGCATTGTTTTCTCCTGTTTTCCAGATGAGCTCAGTAGGAGACTGAAGATGTAAAAGTACCCCCCCCCACCACACAGTGCTGGGCCTGAGAATGGACCTTTCTGGTCCCACAGCTTCTGCCCCTGCCTGCTCTGTTCCCCTCTCCCTTCCTCCCTGCCAGTGGGGCCCTGGGCAGCAATGCCAGTAAAATGAGGCTGTGCCGGGAGGTGCTTGCAGTTGGCAGGGCCTCCTAGGTGACAACACCCCAAGCTGAGAGGAGGAGCTTGCATAGCTGCTTCTGGAGGAGTAGAGAGCAGAGGATGGGTAGGAATCACCTCCTCAATTCAGAGCTGTTATCACTCCGTGGCTGAGGATGTGACTTATGGAGTCAGAATCCTATCTCTCACTTCCAAAAAAAAGGGAAAGAAAAGAATCCCATCTTTCACTTTCCATTAATAGTTATGTGGCCTTGAAAAAAAAGTTCTGTGACCTTGTGTAATATATTTCTCCTCCTGTGCCTCAGTTTCCTTATCTGTACTTTTGGTATAATGGGATTGTTGTGGAGATTAAACGAGCTACTCTGTAATAATCCTTAGCACAGAGTCTGCACTATGTGTCTGCTCCTGTTATTATCTTGCTCCTCAGGGCCAAGGAGAGGGAAGTCCCGGTCAGAAGCACCTGGTGGTGTCGGCACCTCTTCTATTCCCCATCACCCGACCCTCCATCCCTACAGGGCTTCAAGGAAGGCTTAATGCACAGTGTAGAGAGCCCTGGGGCCCAGGCCCATACAACTTGAACTTAATTAAACTAACCTCAGCAGTGCATCATCCAGGTGGCAGGGGGCTAGGGCCCCTGGAGCACTTTAGAAGAGCCTCAAGGAGATGTTAGAAGGTGGGACTGAGGAGGGGGGAGGAGGGAGGGACCTGTTCCAGACAGGAGGTTGGGAAGGGCAGTGTTAGGGAAGGCTGGACTGGCTCTGACAATTTGAGGCTTGCAGAGTCCCAGGGCACCTCTGGAGCCACTGAGGGACCAAAGGACACACTGCCCTAGGCAATCCTTTTCCTACCCCTAGGCCTCCTCTCCGCTCATGAGAATCCAGGGATCCTAATCAGGAAAAGGGAGATTTCCATTTCTTTATGGAGCCAGCAGGAAAGGTCTTCTAATTCACACCTAGAGAGAGTAAGGTTCCGACAGTGGCAGAACTGGAGCCTCAGTCCAGATTTCCTGCCTCCACTGAGAGCTCGCTCCTCTGACCATAAAACCCCAGTCCTCAAACTGATGGGGCATTGCGTTTTCTAGCCTGAGACTGAGCTAGAGGCTTACCGGGTCTGGGTCTTTGTTTCAGTGACGTGGCCGTGGAACTGCCCTTCACCCTAATGCACCCCAAGCCCAAAGAGGAACCTCCACATCGTGAAGGTAGGCAGGATCTGTGGGTCACTGAAGTGGGAGTTTCCGAATTGTCCACCCCATTCTCCACCAGCTGCTGTCTCTCCCCATCACCCCATCTCACTCTGGGTTAGCCATCAGCCCAGGGTCACCCTTTTTCCTCAGCTCCCCAGGATCTTTTGTGAAGCCCACACTCTTCTGTTTGCATCTGACTCCCCCCAAAGACAGAGAGGTCTGACTCCTTCCTCCTTGGGGATGGAAGTTGGGAGTGGAGGGGGCTCACTGGCCATATTTGGAGCTCTTGTCTTGCATCCAGGCATAGGGAAAGGGGCTGCACAGATAAGATGGCCCCTGGACACACCTTAATGATTCTTTCAAGTGATACCAGATTGGCCACATTTCCTTATGTCTAAGACTGTTTGAGTTGAAAGAGACAACTCTATAGTATGTACCACAAAGAAGGAAAAGTGTTCTCACAATTAAACAATGGAATGCCATTGATTCTAAAACATACCCAAAGTTCGGAGAGGTGAAAATGTGAAGAAAAAAAAAAAAACAAAACAAAACGGTTGTCTTAACACTAAATGAAAGTCATGTATTTAAGAAAAGAATCTAAGTCATGCAGGAGACATGCCAAAGGAGCAAGGTCCAGAGGTTTTTCTGTTCTTCTGGAGCTGCTAGGGGCCCTCCCGGGACTGGGGCGGGGGGGGGGGGGGTGTGCGTTCCTTGGACCTTCCCTGGACGGGATGTTTTGAGGGTGTTTTTGAGACCAGGGACCAACCCTTCTTCCCCACTTCCTCTCTTCCTTAGGCCCCCCCATCTTAGCCTGGTTACCCTAGGGTGGGGGCCAGTGCCCACCTGCCCCCATGCCCCACTAACACGTGGCCATCTGCCCACCCTGTGTTTAGTTCCAGAGAATGAGGCACCGGTAGATACCAATCTCATAGAACTTGACACAAAGTAAGCCAAACCCTGCCTGCAGAGGTCTGGGGCTTGGGGGTGGGGTGCCTGGGGCGGTGGGCGGGGCGATGGGGTTATTTGCATATATACTTATTAACCCCTGAGGAACAGCTGGTCTAACCCCCTCTGCTGAGAGCTGCCTCTGCTCGCCTCTTCAGCAACCTGCTTGCCTGCATGTGATTTGAAGGACCCTCCGTGCCTGTTCCTCTTCCTCCTGCCTTGGCGGGGTCTGTCTTCCTCCCTCGTCCTTGCACGTCCGTCCGTCAGTCCGTTCGTCCATCCACAGCGCCTGCTCGGCTCTCACAGGGCTGGTTTGGTTCGGGCCCTGGGCTGGGCTCTCCTGCGCTGCCAGCGCCCAGCCAGTGGAATCAGGCTGTGGGGTGGGGATGGTTCTGGGGGCTCTTGCTGCTTCTGACTCCTGAGGACTGATCTGGATTTCCCTGCCATCAAAGGCCATCGCCTCAACGGACAGTTGCCAGAGGCTGGAGGACCTAGGCCGACATCATGAACCACCTCCAGAACCAAGCAGCTTTCTCTCTGCAGCTCCAAATCCACCCTTTCCTTGTCCCCCAGGAGAAATTTGGGATATGGGGGTCTCAAGTCATGCCGTGAGGACCCCTCATGTGGCTGGCTGAATTCTGTGGGGCTGGGGCTTGGGTGGGCCTAAGCATACATGTTATGTGATAGAACAGAACTCACTGTTCTTAGAAGCAGTCCTGAGTCCTGAAACCCCATTCAGGCACCCCCTTTCCTCACCCACCCTTCCTCTGCCTCGCTATTTAGATTTGCTACCCCCAGGCCCCCTCCTATCCAACATCCTTCAGGATAGAGTATGAGCTGACCGCTCCCTGGAGAAAGGACATTCATGGTTTTCTCTCTCACTAAGATGAGCCCAAGCCTTCCTGTGCTCCCTGAGGGTAGTTCTTTGGGTGGGTGGTAGGGTTTCTTGGGCCTCTTCTGCGGGATTCAGAATATGCTATGAAACTACTGGTGGCCTGGCCTCTCACAGCAGGCATAAATTCTTTCTCTGTTCCCAGCCTGGCCACACTGGCCTCCACCCCCATTTGATATCTCCCCTACCCCCAAATCCTTAAGAACTGGGTCACTTGCCAGCCCTTAGGCATGAAAGTCAAACTCATGCGTCCCTCTGGTATTTCCACAACTAGCTGGAGTCCAGACACAACCGGTCCGTTGGTCACTGATATGCCAGCCTGGCAGGCCTTTCTGCCCAAGGTCAACCCCAGGGGCCAGCCTCTAAGTCCTATCTGACCTTCTGGAGAGGCCTACTCTCCCTGCCTTGCAAACACACCCCATTTTCCTTGTCTTTCCCACCAGCGATGACGACATTGTGTTTGAGGACTTTGCCCGCCAGAGGCTGAAAGGCGTGAAGGACGACAAGGAGGAAGAGGAGGATGGTACTGGCTCACCACAGCTCAACGACAGATAGACTGGGGCCGGCCCTCCCTCTGGGCAGCTCCACGGCCGCTCTCGTGCACTAGGATGCTTACTCGTCTTCTTCCTGTCCTCGTTCCCTCTCCCCTTGTTCTTCTAGTTTCTACCAGGGGGCCCAGTGGTCTTCCGGGTTACAGTGGTGAACCTCCGGCCTCAGGATTGGCCCATCACCATGCTGTCAGGGCCACATGGGCCACCTTCAACCCTCTCACCCCTCTCATGGGTCACCCCTCCAGGCCTCCCCCCTTTTCCTGCTGACTCCAGAAAGGCCATCCTGGCTTTGGCCTTGGGATTTGACTTGGGATGGGGAGCAGAATGGGGAGGGTGGGGCAGAGAGCTCAAGACATGTGAGGAGATGGCCACGGTCCCAGGTGGCTGGCACATCTCTGGCAGCTAAAAGATGACCGTGCCAAGGGCTACCCTCTTCTGGCTAGGAGGGGCACACCTGTGGATAGGGTCTCAATACCTTTTTGGCATTTGGACCTACCAAACGCCTCTCCCCTTCCACCTCTCTGTCCCTATCCTGTGTCCCTCTGTGTCTGCCAGTGACATTGGTGAAGGTTCACGGACCTCAGGAGTAGAGAAAAGCTACTGGACTGCCATTCTTACCAGCAGTTACCCAGTCTAAGGCAAGCTGTGTGAACTAGCCTGTCTAATTCAGTACTATCAGGATGGAACATCCTAGCTACCTTGTAGCTTCTGTGTGTGTCCTATCTGTACACATGCATAGAGAGACAAGGGAGGGGTCCTCACAAAGCACTGCCTGGTGGCATAGAGGGTCCACACTCCTGAGGAGGTTTCCGGAAAGGTGGCTCTGAAAGCTGGGGTTAGGGGCAAGAAGGTGAGGATCTGCTCTTCTCTCCTTTGCAGATGTAAGAGCAAACAGTGATCCCATGGGAAGTAAGGCTGGAGGTCCAGATGGGGCTGGGGACACCCATATCCTACTACCTCCCCTTGCAGTTTTCCACAGCTGGGCTGGCCCTGCAGGCTGGGAGAGAGTGCCCACCATGTGCCACCATGCCCACAGTGCCCACCATGTGCCACCATGCCCACAGTCAGGGCCTCCTCCCCCAGGAGGCAGCATGGTCCATTGATATCCCTCACCTAAAAGGAAGGGGGCTGCTGGGTAGCCAGGAACCCTTCATTTCCTTGGGGAGTTGATGATTCCCCCACACACCGTCCATCCCCCCCGCCACCCACCACCAGTAGCTCCCAGTGCCATGGATACCCAGTACCCATTAACTGGTGTTGCTGTGATTGGGACCTGGGGCATTTTTAGGCAATAAGGCAGGCAGATGACGAGGTAGAAATTGATAAAAGGTATTTGTTCTTGTTTGACCTTTGACACCCACTTACTGTGTGACCTTGGACAAGTTCCTTTCTCCTTCTGGGCCTCAGTTCTTCACCTAGAAGACCAAAGGGTTTGACCAGATGATCACAAAGGGACCTCCCAGCTCTGGCCTCCAAGAATATGTAAACCTCAAAGTTTCTGGTATGACTGGTAGAGCCAGATCCAGACCATTGACTCTGGTCTGTCTGCTTCCAGAGGTGATTTATAGGGCCCCAGAGGTAGCAGGGCCATGGGGAGCTCCTAGCCCACCCCTTCCCAGGCCCTTTTTGGGCCCCTGGAAGGTCCTCTGATGTCAAGCTGTGGCCATAGCTAGCATGAGCTGTTTGGCCCTAGGGCCTGAATATTCTAGAAGACCAAGCTTGCATTTGCTTTGACAGGGCCCTTGGGTACCTCACAGCTCCCTGTGGATGCAGACTCCCTGAGGTTTACCTTATACCCAAGTGAATATATTGCTTAGCAGGGTGTGTGTGGGGAGGTCTCTCCTCCATCTCTGCTCCCATTTATCTCTGTCCCATACTTGCCTGATAAAGAAGACAACAAAATTTTATTATGCAAGTTGGGACTCAGCCCTCTTCAGTCCAGCCCCTCCCGGGGTGGGCAGTGTCACCATTATCCATGGTGAGAATACCCAGTTCACAAGCCTGGCACTGCACCCCAGCCCTTCCCCTCCTGAATCTCATGAAAACTCGATTCTAGGGAGCCCTACCCCATGTCAGGCCCAAGGCAGCTTGGGGCAGCCATATACTATCCTGGCCAGCTCTGGGTGCCCCAGGCATCCAGCCCCTACCAGAGCTTGCTTGCAGTTACACCTCATCGGATGGCTGAAGAGTTGACAAAGGGCTGGAACAACACATGCCAAGCACTGCTCTCCAGTGGCTTCCTCTGGAACCTTTGAGGCTGGGATGAGACCCTTTAGGATTTGAGGTGATCACTCCCTTCCATCCCTTCCTTCATGCCTCACCCATGCACGTGATAGATTTGTCAGCCTGTTTTCTTAAGCTTCTTCACCTCAATATCACACTCACCCTTCTGGGTTTGTCCCAGTGTTTGGCTGAAATTTCTCCACCTGCAGGAAGTATTAGAGCCCCACCTAGACTTTTACCTTTGGGGCCCAGGGCTGCAGAAGGGCAGCCCTTGACCTCAGGAAGCTCATGGTCAGGTGAAAGTTATAGGGGGAAGTCATGGGGGCCACTGCATTCAGGGCTCCTTGGCTGCTGCTAGTCCATATAGTGCCTTGATGTGAGTTAGAAGCAGTGCACCTTCCAGGTGGACCGGCCCATGTTGGAATGCACAGCTTTGTGAATGGTGCACGGGCTGGAGTTTAGCCCCACTTACCCTAGCCAGTGCAACACAAGCTGGAGTGTTTCCTTGGGCCTCTTCCTGGGAGAAGGACCCAGAGCATCTTTCAGAGTTTCTGATTGGCTCCAGACCCCCCTCAGCCTGCAGTCCACAACTATGACCAAGTCCTTCTATGCAGGGCCCCTCTCCATCTGGAGTCAGCCTGTCTAGAGTCAGGTGAGACCTTGGAGTGAGATTGGGGGTGAAGGAACCCCACTGGGCCCCAGGCACCAGCCCATAGTTTTGGCTCTGTGCTGACCACACTGGTACCTTCCAGTGGGCCATGTAGGTGGCATATAGAGAGCAGTCTGGGCAGGAAGGAAGAGCATGGTCCAAGGTGAAAATCTACAGGCAGAGGCCGGCTGGACTTTCTCAGCATTTCACCCATGAGAATGGTTAGGCCCCATGAAGAGAAGAACTGAATTATTCAGTTGGATTCCATGGGCTGTCTCAGCCTCAAAGCACAGAGGGTGAGAGTGGGCACACTGGGGGCTGGTTTTAGCTCGGCTCATTGCTGACAAGCTGGTTCCCACGTGGTGCCGTGAAAAGCATGCTGGCCTAGAAGTTCACACTGCCTCCGGTCCAGTTGTCACCAACCAGCTGAGTAGCCTTGAGCAAGTCACTCAACCTCTTGGGCTCAGTTTCCCTAACTATAAAATGGGACAGTAATCCCTTCTCCACCTGACTCAAGGCGCTTGAAGCCCAGATGAGATGAAAGTCAGCTCTGTAAGTTGCAGATGGCTGCACAGACTGTGGTCCTACCACTGCAGGGCAGTAGCCCAGGGTCACACAGGAAGATCACTGCGGGCTGAGTCCTCCTCCCACCAGTCTTCATCTCTTGCCCCCTTCTCTCTTAGGCAGATGTCAACCAGAAGGAGATGCAGTCAGTTTGGGTTTGGTGACACAGCTGAGAGAAAAATGCAGACACTATTCAGGAATGCCTTACCCATAGAGAGTGGTCCAAGCAATCATGACAGAGAGACAAGCCATGGAGATTGCCAGGGATTGGGCTGGTGGGCATCCTGGACCCTCCCAGTCCTGGTGCCACTCCCATCTCCCAGTTTTTTGATCCCACAGAGGCCAGGAAGCCTTGGCTCTGATCCCAGATTAGGGAGAGCCACTAACCTCCAGGCCCAGGGAGGGCCAAACCACTATTCCATCAAAGAACCCCAAGGGTGAGGTGGAATAGAAATTGCCCTTTATAGTGGAAGGCCTCCTCCATCACAGCTACCAATACACCTTGATGACACTTGGGAGGCATTTGGGCCCAGGGAAAACCCAGGCCCCTTACCCTGCTGACCTGTTCCCCAGTGGTTTCAGTGTCCCACAAAGACAGCTTCTCCTGCCAGTGACTGGGGACGGGACATTCTTCACCCATCCCAGAGGAAGGCATTGGCCCCAATCTTGAACTATTATAGGGTCTTACAGGCATAGGCCTATATCTCTTCTGTTTTTCTTTTTAAAGTCGACAAGGACCAAAACACACTGTATCTTGACCTACATGCATAAGCCTGCATCGAGCAGTTTGATGGCATCTTGCCATCTTTGTCCAGGCAGGTCTACTGCTTCTGTCCTCCCTCCAGGATTGAGATGGCCTACCTGTGGGGCAGAATCCCCACCTCTTCCACTCCCCTGCAGAGTTCCTGCACTGTGGCTTCAAAGAGAGGCCCATCGAAGGGGGGGCACCCCTGTCCCCCAGGAATCTCCTCCAACTCTTCACTCTGAAAGGGGAGTCAAAGCACAGGTCCCCAGGACCCATGACCTACAGACACTCTGATATAGTGGTTTTCAAACCAGGTGCTGTGGAACTCCTGGGTTTCACAGAGCTTCACCAGGGGCTGCTAAAGTGGGAAGATGGGGGTGGAGGCAAAGGCGAGGTCTCCAGCTCTCCCCCATCCCCACTTCCACCAGGACAACTCTGCTTTCATCTGTCTTGCCTATTGAGGTTACACCTTCAAACTTTGGAAGAAAAGCTTCATCAAACCACCATTCTGAGGTTTGATCTTCAACCAGCAAGCACAGGTTCTCTTCTTGCTTTTCATGTTGGAATGGCTCTAGCATTCCAATACAAAGTGTCTTTGTATTGGAACTTGGGTTGCAACCCAGGCCCAAGCACTTGCTTACACACACACACACACACACACACACACACGATGGTTTTGTGGCATACCCACCCTGAAGCTCTGGCCTGGGTTTTGATTTGGGCAAGGGCCTGGTGCTCAGTGAGGATGGGTCTTGCCTTGATATCAGCCCATGCAGTGTGGGGGACTGTGGAACAAGGAAATAGGCTCAGCCCCTACCCCACAGCTTGTGTCTGCACCCCACTCCCCTGGCCCAGGCCTAAGGGACACGTGGGAGAAGGAGAAACTAGACTCAGGTTCTTCTTTACGTGTAGCCAGATGGGTGGATGTCTGGGTTTTTCCAAAAGAAATGTTGAGGGAGGACTTTATGCTAGAGGTCCCTCCATAAGGACATAGTCCCTCTAGAGACTTTTAAGTGGCAAGTTTCCCTTGAGCAATTCTAATAGGATTCTATTCCCACATCAGTGGACAAGCAAGTGTGGGGGCAACAGAAAGGTGCCTGAAGAGATGCTACGGTTACGGTCTCCCACTCACAGTCTCCCACATTCTCTGCCAACCTGCCCCTCTGCACAAGTTCCCCACAAGAACTGACCAAGGGGTGGCACATTGGGGAGACCTGGACTAGCCTTTGACAAGGGGTCCTCCTTGGCCTCCTCCCACTGAGGGCATTCTAGGTGGAAATATGAGGCTCAGGGCACAGCAGACCATGTGGCATGGGAGAAGGAGTCCTAAGTGCAGTCTGAGTATGCCCCTGGGAACCTCCACTGAACTCAATTTCCCCATGTGTAAGATGGGGCTTGTGCCAGGCCCTGCTCACCTCACAGGTTACTGCAAGGGGAGGTCATGGGAAGTATGATAGGTGGTATCATACAAGAATGATGAAGTGGGAGTCACACAAACTTGGGGTGTAGTCATGGCCTGAACGGTAGATCAGCAAGTACTTGGGAGAATGAGTATGGGAGGTGCCATCTTCCTGGGGCATCTCTGCTCAGAGTTAAGGTCTAGCCACAGATGCCATGGGAGACCGGTCTCTTGCTACCCAATGGGAGCCAGCATTCAGCTTGGCACAGTGACTATGGATCCTGGACGCAGGGAGTGACAGGTGGCTGGGACAGGTCTCCAGGTCCGTAGCCCTTCTGTTAAGTGATTATTTTGTGACACCCTCTTTCCTGGGCCATCTGCCAGGTTTATCTGTTGTACCTGTGGCATTCCTTACTATGTCAGATAAGTTATTACAGTTTATTCAACTCTAACAGGACAAATGAACAAGAGAACCATAAATAGGAGACCATTAAAGGTCTTTTGTGACAGATGCTGGATGTGCAATCATTTCTGTCTCATTAGCTCACGGCAAGACATAGATCAGCAAATCCTCTCCCTACTGCCTTGGAATGTTGGGCAGGACCTGTGGATGGGTCAGGTGTTTTCTTCCTTCTCCCTGGCCCCAACTCCAACCTGGTTCCTGCACCCCCTTCTGGAAACTGCCAAAGAGCTTTCTCTTCCTCCCTCTGCCATTTACCAGTCTTCTGGCCTTGGAGAAGTCGCCAGACCTCTCAGGCATCACTGGATCCCATGACCCCTGGTTTGCTCCTCAGGTAAAGCCATCCTATCTTCTCTTTGGCACCACCAACCACTTCAGCCAGAATCCTGCCCCAGTCCCAGCCCCTGGTCTTATTCAGTACTCATCTCCTGCTCTGCTGGGTCTCCCTGAAGTCACTTCACTTTTCCATAATTTACCCACTGCCTGTTCCAAAAAAACACATGGAAGGAGTGGGGATATATGTGAGGAAGATTAAAAGTTCTAAATGATAATATTCTGTATTAACAAAAGGGACATTCCAATGAATGTAAGATGACTTTTCTAGAAAATTGATTATGTATGAAAAATAATTTTTTTTTACATTCCTTTAAAATAATGTGTAACTTAGATCAAAGCATTGCCCTCCTGGTTGACCAGAAGGTGATCTCTTTCCTCTGATGCTCCCTTTAGGCCACAGAAGGTAGTGGGAAGACGCTGACATCTGAATTAGGAGACATCAGCTAGGGCTTTCATTCTGCCTTCCTACGTGGTCTGTATCAGTTTGGGTTCAGAGAAATGGCCTATACTCATATTTCAATAGCAGGGATTTTATTGATGAAGCTGGTTATAATGTCGCAAGAGTTAAAAGGGGAAGTGGGATGTGAGGCAACCCAGAGATTAGGTGCAACCAGAAACCACTACCACCTGTAGGGTGGAAGGACAGGGAGAGGAGTTACCAAGCTGAGGAACTAGCAACACAGAGGAAGAGGGTTTCTGAGGAATTCAGAACACAGGAGAAACACATCTGTTGCTGGCGATGCTACCCAAAGCAGAGAGTGGTAGAAACACTGGTTTCTCCTCTCTTCCTGCCCTCCCCCTTGCCCCCTGACTTCATGCCTATGCCTACCCTTAGCAGAATCTAATTAAAAGCCATTTTTCAAGGAATCTTGGGAAACGTGGTTTGCAAGGGTTGGTGCCCTGCAATACAGAGCAGAAGGTCAAAGGATTAGATCTGAGACCAAACAGACAAATCACCAGCTCTTCCTCAATCTTTTCATCCAAAAAATAAAAATAATCATATTGGCCTGGATACCACAATTGAGGAGTGCCCTGATGTCTAAACGGGACCGTAAATGTGGGGGAAGTATTTGTTTTTGAAGCAAAATCTGATAGAACTGAACAGAGAAATATACAAATCCACAACACTCCTCTTTCAGTGATCAGCAGAGCAAGAAGACAGAAAATTAGTAAGGATATAGAAGACCTGAACATTATCAATTAACTTGACTTAATTGATATTAATAAAATATTTTACCTCAAAACAATAAAATGTGCATTATTTTCAAGTGCACATGGAACATTCACCAAGAAAGACCATTTTCTGGGCCTAAAAAATGCCTTAACAAATTTAAAAGATAAATTTATTTATTTATTTTTTATTTATGATAGTCACAGAGAGAGAGAGAGAGAGAGGCAGAGACACAGGCAGAGGGAGAAGCAGGCTCCATGCACCGGGAGCCCGACGTGGGATTCGATCCCGGGTCTCCAGGATCGCGCCCTAGGCCAAAGGCAGGCGCCAAACCGCTGCGCCACCCAGGGATCCCTAAAAGATAAATTTAAATTAAACAAATTTAAATAATAAAAAATATGTTTTCAGACCATAACAATTCAACTAGAAATTAATAATAGAAAAGTATCTGGAAAATTTATGTACTTGGAAATTTTTAAAAAGATTTTATTTATTCATTTATTCATTCATGAGAGACACACAGAAAGAGACACAGACACAGGCAGAGGGAGAAGCAGGCTCCATGCAGGGAGCCCAACATGGGACTTAATCCCGGGTCTCCAGGATCAGGCCCTGGGCTGAAGGCGGCGCTAAACCACTGAGCCACCCAGGCTGCTCCTATGTACTTGGAAATTAAGCAACCTCATACATAAATCAAAAAGAAAACCATGTAGAAAATTAGAAAATATTCTCAATTAAATAAAAATGAAAACAAAAATAGGTAAATTTATGGGATGCTGCTAAATTATTTCAATAGATTCAGAAGTAGCATTTGACAAAATTCAATATTTATTCTTGATTAAAAAGAAAAAAAAAAACCCAAACCGTTAGTGAACTTTCTTAATCTAATATGGGGCATCTACAAAAAAAACTAGTTAACACGTACTAAATGGTTTTCTTCTAAGATTGGGAACAAGACCAGGATGACTGTTCCCACCCCTCCTATTTAACATCCTACTAAAAGTTCTAGCCAGTATAATGAGGCAAGAAAAAGATATAAAAGTCCTACTGATTGTAAAGAAAGAAAGAAAATGGTCTCTATTCACAGACAACATGATTATTTACATAGAAAAATCCCAATAAATCTACCCTGAAAAGGTACTAGAACTAATGAATGAGTCTATATAGGTTGCAAGATACATGATCAATACACAAAAATCAATTGTACTTATGAATAGTAACATCATATTGAAATGAAGACAGACCCAAATAAAAAATAACACCAAATAAAAAGATAACACCATTTACAACAGCACAAAAATGGAAATACTTAGGTATAAATATAACAAAATATGTGCATAATCTCTATGCACATCTCTAAAGCACAAAATATCGATGAAAGAAATCAGAGAAGACCTGAAACAATTGAGACATTTACCATGTTCATGGATTGGAAGATTCAACACTTGTTAAGATACAATTCTCTCCAAACTGACTATAGATTCAATCCAATCCAAATCAAGACCCCTGCAAGATTTTTTTTTTTTTTGCCGATATAGACAAGCTGATTCTAAAATTTATATGGAGAGGTAAAGAAATGCAGAAAGAGACCTGCATTATGTACTGCCAATTGATGGTGGCCTTAATCATTGTCTTTTCAATAAATAGTGCTGGTGAGGATGTGGAGACTGGAACACTAATACACTGCTGGGGGGAATACAAATTGTATGGACACTTTGGAAAACAGTCTGGCAGTTTCTTATAAATTTAAACATACTTACCTATGACTTAGATGTTCTATTCCCCCAAAGAAATGAAAAGTTATGTTCTCACAAAAACCTGTATGTAAACACTAATAATGGCTTTATTGTAAAAAACTGGTGGGACATCTGGGTGGCTCAGTTGATTAAGCATTAGCCTTCTGCTCAGGTCATGATCCTGGAGTCTTGGGATGGAGCCCCACGTCGGGCTCCTTGCTCAGTGGGGAGTCTGTTTCTCCCTCTCCCTCTGTTCTTCCCCCTGCTTGTGCTCTCTCTCTCTCAGATAAATAAAATCTTTAAAAAAACACCTGCAAACAACCCAAATATTCTTCAACTAGAGTGAATGGATGAACTATTACACTGCCATATGATGGAATCCTACTCTGCAATAAAAATGAACAAACTAGTGATACCTACAACAACATGGATCTTAAATACATTATGCTAAGTAAAAGACAGACTTAAAAGGACAAATATGTATGATTCTATTTACATGACATCTGGAAGAGGCAAAACTATGGGCACAGAAAACTAGTTGCCAGGGGCTGGGATTGAGGGAGAGTTGAGAGTTGGCTATAAAGGTACCACAGGAGGGATTTTGGCAATGATGGAACTGTTCTGTATCTTGATTTTCAAAATCAACTGTAAGCCCAAAGAGTGAATTTTTGCAAATATGTATCTCAATAAAAAAGAAAAAGCAGGGATCTCTGGGTGGCGCAGCGGTTTGGCGCCTGCCTTTGGCCCGGGGCGCGATCCTGGAGACCCGGGATCGAATCCCACGTCAGGCTCCCGGTGCATGGAGCCTGCTTCTCCCTCTGCCTATGTCTCTGCATCTCTCTCTCTCTCTGTGTAGCTATCATAAATAATAATAAAAAAAAATTAAAAAAAAATAAAATTAAAAAAAAAAAAGAAAAAGGAAAAAAGAAAGTAAACAATTGGTACGCCAGGGTGGCTCAGCGATTGAGCATCTGCTTTGGCTCAGGGTGTGATCCTGGAGTCCCGGGGTTGAGTCCCACATCGGGCTTCCTGCATGGAGTCTGCTTCTCCCTCTGCCTATGTCTCTGCCTCTCTCTCTCTCTCTGTGTCTCTCATAAATGAATAAATAAAATCTTTTAAAAAAAGAAAGTAAACAATTTATATCGCAGACTGCAGACGATACTTACTGGGCACGTGCCATTTGCTAGAGTTTATTCTGGACTCTGAAGACACAAAGATAAATAAGATAATTCCTTTAAGGAGCTCACAGATTCATAGGAGCATAAGGCATGACCACAAAGGTTTGGAATTGTTGTTGAGGGATACTGGAAATGGGACTAACATGTACTCATGGCATGCCATGAGAGCACTGGGGGGGGGGGTCATCATGTTTAGCTGGGGTGGGTGAGGTGGGGAATAAGGCAGGCTTCTTAGAAGAGGAATCACTTCCACTGAATTTTGAAGGATGAAATGGAGGTAGGCAGGTGAGGAGAGACTATGGACATTGGCCAGAACTGACCTCCCATCTGGTATTTGAATATTCAGTCTCACCACCTTTGCACCTGCTGCTTCTTCTGGTTGGACTGATAGATCTTTCAGAGCTTCCCATCCTTCCAGGGTAAGCCTCTTCTCAGAGGGGTCTGCCTGACTACCCTGGTCAAAGACATCCTTCCCCATCACTCTTCATTCTGTTTATTTCCCTCCTAAGAAGGATCTTGCTTGTTTATGGTATAAGCACATGGGCTCTGGGTTCTAAGCCCAATTTGGTCCCTTAGTGTGACCTTGAGCAAATCACTCACATTTATGTGCCTTAGTTTCTTTCTTTCT